GATCGAATAGAGACCCAGAGGGCGAGGGGAGGGACCCAACGAGGCGCTTCTACCGATGCAAATTTCTTTTCGAACGCAGTGCGAACGCTCGCGCACTCACGCACATTCTATTTTGCTATTTTTGTGCGCGCGTGACTGCACTTGATCTGCAATTTTGCAAACAATCTAAATGATAATCCACATTGGATCGGCGGATTGTACAAATACCGAGTGAACGTTTTATGCCTACTTGAGTCAAATAAATGTAGACAGGTCGATACGCGAGAGATTCGGAACAACGACAACGGCCCAAGTCCGTTATTTGCGACGTACATTTTTTTGTACATTTCCGACTTTTGCCTTTTTCGCGCGCATAGTAATGTCGTTTTGTCTTATCTTGTCAATCGTTTGAACGTTTGCAGGATCGAATAGATCAGATTCATCTTTTTATTCCAGAAATACATCGTGCTTCGATGATTTGATCCGCCGAACGGAGCGATATTATAGATATGATTTAAAGGGAATAAATATTTTCTCACTCCCAGACACACATTGGTAAATGAGTTCAATTCTTTTTGAATCATCCTATAGTCAAACGCAACAATCTCCAATTCTGCTCGGTCGATATTGCAGAGAAAGAGACTGCGTTCACACTCGCGCCGGACTCGAAACGGCGAATTACAATGTTTCGAGACAGTCGGTAAAGATGGTGTCTATTACGGATAACTCGGATAATTATAAAGGTTCGTGCGTGTCTGTATCGCACAAATTTGCGAATCAAATTTCGTACGAACAATTGATTTGCATCGGATTTGTACTGGACTGCTGAAATATTCGAATATTCTCAACTTTTCGAATTCGAAAAACAAATTCTTTCCTTTGGGGTGAGTAGTAATTATAATATATGTACGAAATTGACATTCGTCGATACGTGCGTAAACATATTTTCTTTTTATATAGAAAATGAATGGAATCTTGTTTCCTCATCTCTGACACACGGACATAATTTCCACTGAATTTCCAATCGGTTGTATCATAAGTTACGCTAATAGTCTACTTAACCGGTCAACTTGGTCAAGTTATGAGGAAGCGATTCTTATTGCCGATGCTGATGACCGGTCGAGTTGTACGATTCGTTTTGTGTAGAAGCCAGTTTCAAGAAGTTGATCCTCTTGTCTGTCGTTGATTCTCGTTTTAACATCCAATACCCGTGTAAGCAACTTTTTAAAGCGCAATATACAAAGATAATACAGCGTAAGAAATATTGGCTCAAAAGAGGCAGCAAAACATTTTATATATCGTTACGCGTCTGTCAGCACATGTCGCACACTTTTCTGTCGCCCCTTCGAGCGCAAGAAAAGTAGAAAAATAGCACTCGGAAAGAACACTCGGCAAGAAACGATTACTCGGCACTTTGGCGTTTCACCGACGCGCTGCGACGACCACAATGTGTATTGCGGGGCTGCACGGTAACGTTGAAAAACGGCGCGGACTCGTATTCATCGGCTCATGGGGTTTCCTGGCGAGCGAAGGGAGCAAGTACGAGCTATGAAACGACTTATGAAACGACCATCGCCACAGCTTTAAGTGCGCGCTGTTAAGCGAAAAACTTTTTTCTCTCTCTCTCTCTCTCTCTCTCTCTCTCTCTCTCTCTCCCTCCCTCCCTCCCTCCCTCCCTCCCTCCCTCTCTCTCTCTCTCTCTCGCTCGCTCTCGCGCGCGCGCACAAATTGTAATACGCGTTTTTGTATGCGTCGCTATGTGACAGGAGAACCTAACCTACCACCGTAGGTTGATAAATTTTTCAAAATTTCAGTATTGGAATATTTTCAGGCAATCAGTCGTTTGATCGACTGTATGACAAAAGTATGATAAAGATTTCCTCTATGTCTTTACGCCAAAACCGATGCGCGTATTTTCTATTATGTAATAATTGAAAGATCTAAATGCTGCATCGTGGTCAGTCTACTTCGATACCACGACCAGTGTATCGTTCTTAAAACTTGAATTTTTAGCGTTAAACGTTTGCGCATAATTTGCGCGAAAATTAGCTTTGAAGGAATGAATGGTGTTTCGTGTGCTTTCTAAGCGGCTCGCGCACGTTCGCGGTACGTTCAGCATGGACGCGAGATTTATTTTCCTCCAACGATTCAATCGAGCAATCAATGCCAGCACGGCAGTTCGCTAACGCGTGCGAGAGCGAGCGAATGATACATTACGTTATAATAAGCGATACATTACGTTGGACAATAATTTGTCAGCCCTTCGTGATGCGCGAATGATCGATTGCGAGCATGCGCTCGCAAGATCGTTTAAATGGTAGCGCCAGTTTGTCGGTAAGATTATTAATGACGCGAAATTATTCGCGCAGCTCTCTCTCTCTCTCTCTCTCTCTCTCTCTCTCGCTGATCCGCGCTTGCCGCACGGTGGCCGCTATTCACGAGGCATTGTTTCACATATCGGCGTATATTTTGGAAGATTATTACCAAAAAGTCTATTTACGTGTGATAGTGAGAGAAGTTTGCTTTCTTTTCTAAAGAGTAATAGTTTCGCTCCGTAAACTTGAGCGCGCGCGTGCGCGGAAGAAGGAAAGAAAATACACGCCTCTCTTGATTTTGAAGTATTCTACAAACGTGCCAAGATTCGTTAAAATCGGAGCTCGTTAGAAAATTAACTGGATAACCGAATATTCTCACGAGTCGTACGCAGGCTCGATACCTTCGCTATATGCACGTCTACGAATCGACGCAAGTATCGTAACATACGAACTCTGTACACTGCGCGCTCGCGCGCGCTCGCGCGCGCTCGCGCGCGCGCGCGCGCGACGATCCTATAAATAACATCCTCACAACGCGGAACGAGATCGCGTCTCTCCGATCCTCCGGATTCAACATGAACGGACACGCGGCGCGGCGGAGAACTCCACGGCGCGGAGGGACTGACGAAAAATGGGATCTTCGGCTCCTCTCTGTTGCTCGGTGTCGCGTATAGAAAATTGCGCGTCTCTCGAAATTGTACGAATCTGTTAATCGTGGATCGTGTTCGGCGGTCGCGCACGCGGGAGCGAGTTTTGAGATTTTTCCTTCCCGCCCAATCGACCAGAGAGTGAGAGGGGGAGGGGTGAGGGAGAGAGGGAGAGAGGGAGGGAGAGAGAGAGAGAGAGAGAGGGGAGGGGAGAGAGAGAGAGAGAGAGAGAGAGGGAGAGAGAGAGGGAGGAAGAGGAGGGTACTGACTTCCCCGGTCATCGATTCCTGCTAAAGTCATCGACACGTGACTGCGACCGGTCCTGCAATCCAGTTCCATCGCGGCCCAATCAGGCGGGGGGGTGGAGGACGAGACGAGAGGAACAAGCCCGACGAAGGGGAGAGAACACCACGGCGAGGAGAGTCTCGATTGCTATTGCCGGATCAAGGACGTCCGCCTACGCCCCGCTTGCCGTCGTATACCGTTATATCACTACCGAATTCCGGCTTCTCTCCGAGGGCTCTTTCTTCGCAGACAACGAGGCGAGGGCGCGGACGCGGGCGCGGGCGAGAGAACGCGAGCGAGAATATCTCTCAGCAATTCGGCAAATCGCCGCTCTCTTCGTCCTCTTCGGTCCCTCGGCTTGCTCCGATCCGCGATATATGCTCCGTCCGGGTTTCCGTCCGGGATTGGAATCCGGATGCTGAGAGGAGCAACAGTATGTACGTACCTACATACGAGTGTGCGAGCGAGCGACGCGCAGCTGCGCTCGCGGCATTCTTCGCGCGTTGCGAAATGCGCGCGCGCGCGCCTTCGCCTTCGCCTTCGCCTTCGCCTTCGCCTCGCGTGCACTCTCGCGTGTATTCCGCGTGTGTGGGCGGTACGACGAAGCCGGGGCACCGACACAAGCAGCCGTCGCCGATAGCTGACGCGTGCGAGAGCGCGTGGTCATTGATGATGCCCGCGCGCGGCCACGTGTGCGTGACTCAGAAACATCAACGTGAGAACGCGCAGCACAGACCGAGACCGAGACCGAGACCGAGACCGAGACCGAGAGAGAGAGAGAGAGAGAGAGAGAGAGAGAGAGAGAGAGAGAGAGACCGAGAGAGAGAGACCGAGAGAGAGACCGAGAGAGAGAGAGAGCGAGAGAGAGAGAGAGAGAGACCGAGAGAGAGAGAGAGAGAGAGAGAGAGAGAGAGAGAGAGAGAGAGAGAGAGAGAGAGAGAGAGAGAGAGAGAGAGAGACCGAGAGAGAGAAAGGATGAGTCGAGGGGACTTGAGAAGAGGCTTGACAAGCGTTTCGACTTCAACGTCGGGGAAAACATCGTCGTTTGTTGGAGAAATGTTTTTCACAATTCGCATTTCGTAATTCCACTTTCGGTTTCGCGCATCTTTTCCAGCGCATCCCTCCGCGTTTTACTGCGCTCTACTGCTACCGCAGCACAGCTTTTAAATCCTTAACACGCGCAGCAGGCTAGCTCTCTCCATCTTCGATCGGTCGATAGATAAGCGAGAGAGATAGCATTTCGCGCGACGTGGCTGGTGCAGCACTGTAAACGCGTCGCTAAATCAACGCCTCGAAATGGATCTTTCAATATCTCGTTGAGGTTCAGCGAAACGTAATCGTTCGCGCGCGTTAATCTCGCGTTAATTGTCGCGGCAACGCGACCAGTTACCAGTCGAGAACCATCCTCCTTTTACGATCCTCTCTCAGATCGTACTTGTTTACATGGATTTTCATTCGAGCATGAGGTTCCACATGGTGTCTGTGCCTAATTCACATATATCATCGGCTACCTCGATCTCGCTTATCTCGAAATGAAATAATAGAAAGTCGCAATATTTCTCTTCTCTTTATCCAAATTGTTACGTTATGTATAAATGCAAATAGATCGACTCGTTAACTCTCTAATCGAGTTTCCGCTCCGTAAAATTTCATTTTCTTACGATTCTTGGGAAAAATGTATCAAGCGGGTCGACAAAAACTAACTTTTAAATTTATTAAACTATTAAGGAATATTATATTTCTCATTACAAATGCGTTGTAAAATGTATGCGTGCATGTGTGTATGTTGCAAAATAAATAAAACACAATGTACAAAATGTAAAATTTGGATGCGAAAGGATATATTAATGTGTGTGGTGTGTGTGTGTGTGTGTATGATACATGTTACATGTAATGCGAGGAAGCATATATTTCGTTATATACTTGACAGGCGGTGGCGTCCAGCAGCAGAAAAGTCCGGACTGCTTTGCTATCGTCGCGCGTACGTGTTAATATTCCACACAACGACAATCTCGTTGTCACTATGGAACATTAATACATACGCGATGCAGGATAGATTACCTATCCTGCAAAGTCAACCTTTCAAGGTTGCGTGAAAAATCTAGCCTGGGACAAATTGAGCGGCGAACTTGTCGTGGACATTGTCGAACATCGCACGCGGTAGGGAGGGAACGACGCTCCGTGTTTCTTTGGTCTTTGGTTTTGGTCAATTTCGAACAGATAGCACCGAACACAATGTTACATCTCACCACATTAAGCGCACACACCACCATTAGTATATCCTTTGATACGAATTGATATTAAAAGGATGGAAACAAACAACATTCCCGTAGTAATAGGGTAATCTCTTCGGACAATCATCGAATCCAATTGCTTCGGACAATATCTCCTCGCACCTTCGCGGTACTGTAAAGAGGCCGACATTGCGTTCCCGGCGGTTTTTCATCGCCGAAAAAATTCCATATCGAAAACACGTCGTTGCAGCATGTCACTGTAACAAAAAGCGTCAAAAAGGTCAGCTTGAGGATGTCAGTAGAGGACATAAAGAGCGAGAAATATTGACGCCGCTGTTTGTCATCATCATACGTATACCTAGCTGCTTATGCGCGGCGTTAAACTTGAGGAAGGAGAGTTGTTCGTCTTTATCCAGCGGTATCGCGTCGACTACCCGTTCGAAATTGGCGAGGATCGGAAAGACGGAGTGTCGTTTCCTCCCTACCGCGTACGACCAATGTACGAGCAGCTCGCCGCTTAATTTGTTCCAGGCGAGATTTTCCACGCAACCTTGAAACTTTGCAGGTAGGTAGTCTATCATCGCGTACGTGTTAACGTTCCACAACGACAACGAGGCGTCCTTTGATCCTCCTATGCAAAGCAGTCCGGACTTTTCTGGATGCCACGCCACCGCCTGTCGAGTATACGACGAACGATAAGTGCATTTCCCCGCATCTCGATCGTCGCGTTTGCATTATTGCACTGTTAAATTGTATTATCAAAGACAAAAGAAATCTTCCCCCAAGTCCAGATGCCCAAGACGAGAAGATGTGGTGGAGTGGAGCGGAGCCAAAGCGAAACTTTGACTCGGGTCTCTCGCTACAATCAACACACAGCCATTTCATCTTGCACAACGAGTCCGAGGACTTGGCTTGGACTCGGCTCGATGCTGCTGAGCTTACCTTCACAAAAGTGGGAAACTCGATATTGTACCAATCTGTTAAATTCGGCCAGGTATGTATACGGACGCAATTGTCTTTCGCAGTTGACACGAGATACTTGAAATTGGACGAGAAGTTCAGGGTCATGATGTTAGAGAAGTGCGCGTGTTTCCTCTGCAGCACCTTGCCTGTGCTCGATTGTAGTACCGATAGCGTGCCCGAGCATGAGCTGCGTGCGACGTCATTATTTCTTATTGTTTGCATTCAACGCTGTAGCGTTGTTACTTTGGCTTGGATGGTTTATCATTAATCTGATTGCACTATCGATCATTCAACTTGCGAGTCGCTATGCGAGTCGGCTTGCACTAAAATTGTCAACACGGCGCGTGGTGCATGGTTCAGTGTCGTCAGGGATGGGAGGAGGACCGACGCTCTCAAGTTACGAGATCGGAAGAGACAGAGAGAAAGATTCGCATTTCGAATACTTGCTTGAATTCCCGACAGTGCTTCAAATTATAGTTATAGTTGACGCGGCACGAATTGATATATTTACGTTACAATCAGACGATCGTCGTGAGACCAACAGATGCAACAATTCCTGCACGACGAGGCTACAAATGTGTGGAAAGAACAGAAACAGGGAACACTCCATAGAAACTTTTTCTTTTGTGAATCGTAGAGCCTGAGCTCCTTTGAACTGGGAAACGTGCATGCTATCTTGACACCTGAAATCAAGATACGCGTACGGTCGCGCTGTTATCATTATCGAATTATTGTACATTGTAATATTGAGTTATTATATATTATATAGGTTGCAATATATGCGTGCGCGATCTCATGGCGATGGAAGGTGTAGGTGGAGGGAGATAGCGTTGCACAGTCATCAAATCAATTCTCCTTCCATTTCTCATTCCATTCAGGAAATAGGAAATGTAATTTGCCAAGAAATAAACGCTTTCGCTTTTATCGGCACAAACACACACACACACACACACACACATACACGCGTGTGCGCCGCTATGTGTGTATTGCTACTTTCTCTTTTCGTATGATTAAATATGCTTACCATCGTTACTCCACTTAACGACGGAAGGAATGTCCGAGAGTAACGTATCCAACATTGTGCCATTGCTGTCGTATATCGTCAAACCGTTCTGACAACCCACTACGAACACGTCCATGCAGCTCCAGTCAATTGGTCGAGCAATAACTTCAATATTGAAAAAAAAGAAGAGAAATCCCAACATAAGAGACGTTGATCAACGCGTGTTGTGGTTGTCGCATTGATTTGATCGGCAGGAGCTCAACTGACGAGATTAAAATTGTCAAAGTCAAAACATATTTTCGCGCATATTTTTGCCTTTGTCTCGTCTCGTTGACCGACATTTAACCGATTAAACCGATATTATTCATGTGCAAGCAATGCAAGTTTGTCCGCGTAACTCAACGAGACACAGCGCAGTGCTGTAGCGGCTGCAGGATCATTGGTGACCGTAATGGCATCCAACGTGCGAGCGGTCTTGCTAATGTCTCTATGATGCTAAAATCTTCAAGGCTTACTTGAACTCAACGTACTTTGATCGGCTGACAAGCTCAGCATCTTCTCCGCGCTTTTTATCAGACGCTTTTTGCGTGGCGCGCACTTCCATTTTCCCTTTGTTTCGGATTCCGAGCGCCCTTGCGTGGCAGAATTGTTCGAACCTCGGGGACAAAGCTCGACAGAGGTCTGCAGGATCCTCCTCTGACTCAAACCTGCCGATTTGTCACGAAATGATAACAATCGAACGGAGAACCGACGAGAAATGTTTTGCGCTTTTGACAAATAAATTTTAAAGAAATCTGGAACTTTTCTCCCTCGGCTGAAAAAAATAATTGTTTCGGGAGCGAGGAAAAAAAACATTCATTCGATGAGTATACACACACACACACACACACACACAAATAATTGTATAATTACATTAGGTTCGACATCTGACCTGATCTTCATAGAGCTTAAAATTCTTTAAAACTTACTTAACGCAACGAATGAGATATCGATCATATTACGTGTGTATATATATATATATATATATATACTTACTTGTAGAGGTTTCGCGCAGATTACGCTTCGATTTTATTACAATTCAATTAAAGATTATTACCTGGCACGCATTCCTGACTCATCATCATTGCACGCATAGCTTCGCGTTGGTACGTAACGTCCAGCAACTCGACCTATTTTTACAAGAAGAATAGTAGTATCAGTGTGTCGCGATGATCAGGATGATGGATATCAATGGATGACTTTTGGATCGGGTGCTTTTCGCGCATTTGCGCGCACCTGTTTACAATAGTCTATCTCCCTTTTATTCTCCGAATCGTCGAGTTGCCGCGTTGACAAGTGATATGACGCCGCTTGAAAATTGTAACCGTGTCGACGTGGTATGAATCTGTCGCCGGGATAAATTCTTCTCACAATCGGTAGACCCGGTCTCACTCGAACAGTTTTTCCATCGTCTGGCTTTGCCATACATAAGTCCTGAGTATGACATCGCTCGCGACTCTCGTCGGCAGTCGCTTGATGGGAGATGGATGGTAGAAACCATAGGCGAGGATTGATCTGAAGAAAATTTATCAGCAGCATTACTCTCCGCGTTCTCACTGCGTTGATTGTTGACTTTTTTATTGAATTCTAAATAAATCCGAGATAATAAATCAAATCCTACTTGGACTACAAACACTGGTACCTCGAGGTTCATCATTGAAAAAAATGATAAAAATCGGCGTGCATCTTTGACATTTTTCATGGCATAGGAGGCGACGCGTATATTTGGCGTGCGCGCTCTCTCTCTCTCTCTCTCTCTCTCTCTCTCTCTCTCTCTCTCTCACTCTCTCTCTCACTCTCTTACTTCACACGAAAAGCAATTTCGGGGACATTACCTTGATCGATTAATTACCGTTTAACCGGTTACGACGTCGCGGCTAATTGAAAGCTTCATTCCCACGGTGAATTGGCGTCGAGCGACCCGACACGGCTCGGCTCGACGCAACGCGGTACGCGGCTTGGCGGGCCGCCGCGAACCGGTCAGCGTACGACGACGCGTGTGATGCGAAAACGCCACGCCACGTTGCGCCGCCGCGCCGTGTCTCTCGTTCGTGGGCTGTACCACCTGCGGCAAAACTCTCTCAGTCTCTCACAGGGGATGCTCCTCGGTCGGTCGGTCGATCGGTCGGTCGGTCGGTCGGTCGGTCGGTCGAGAGAGAGAGAGAGAGAGAGAGAGAGAGAGAGAGAGTCCAGGAGACAATATATTCGTAAGAAACTCTAGAGCTACCGCGATCACCCATGCGCAACCAGCGCACGTTCTTTCTATCCGCGGACGGCGACGCACCGTCTCTTTTTTAGTGTGACAGAGTGACAGAGAGAGAGAGAGTGAGAGAGAGAGAGAGAGAGAGAAAGTTTTAAACGAGCGAGCACAAGCCAAAGAGAGCCAGTACATTATGTAATGTTACGTACGTAAATGTAAATGTATGTAGGCTGAGAGAAAAAAAACTTTAATATTCGTGAAATAATCATTTTTGCAGCAAGTGCGCCACAGACAGTGTTTTGCGACAAAAACAAAGAAGGATGTAACTTACATAAAAATAAAAAGTAATTACAAAATTTAACGAGATTAATCATCTCTTTCTCTCGTCTAGTATTTGCGAAGCGACTTTGGCGAGTTTGGCGAGCTCCAAACGGGCGGCTGATGCGTTTTCATCAGTCGCTCATTGGTAATACCATGGATAATGGACAAGGTCGCAGAAGCCGTGATATTCTCTTTTCTTGTTGAAAGAGAGAGAGAGAGAGAGAGAGAGAGAGAGAGAGAGAGAGAGAGAGAGAGAGAGAGAGAGAGAGAGAGAGAGAGAGAGAGAGAGAGGCTCCGTTGCGGCTGCTGCTGCGTCGACGGTGGAACGAGAAAAGATCCTACCAGACGTAAAATCCAAAATTTTCTACGTCCGTGCCGCTACGGCCGGCCTATAGCGCGGGGAGGGTCGTCGCTGGATAATTTTGTGCTAGCGGCATTATGCACGAAGGGGTAATACCTTATACGACCATTGTGACCCCCTGCGAACATCTGGCTGTCCGGGTTAGTGATGGATGGGACAAGCTACCGAACCTGATTCCCGCGGCTGGACCGATCTCACGTACACTCGAAAAATGCTCCCGGGTGCGCGTGCGCTCGCGCTCGCGTTCGCGCACGTGTATAAAGTAAAATGTATAAAAAATTAAGTTGTAACTTTTACAAAATCGCTCGGGAGCGCCTTTTCTCGCGAGATGCACGTACACGTGCGTGACGCAGGTCAGACGATTGAAGAAAACCGTCTACGTAATGCGGACACTGCGACACTGCGGACGGTGCGAGACGAATAATAAAGCATTATGGACAGAGTGTAGCAGAGTGTGACGACGAGTTTACAAAGTTGACGAAAATTCGAATCGTTTACTCGAGGGAGCGACAATCGAGAGCTGAAAATCAGACATGACGTTGGAAGCGGAAACTTGAGAAACTCTCGGCCTGCACTCTCGTGCCGACAATATATGTCACTACATGTGTGTCTACGTAATTTTACGATGATAATTACGGTGATGTGTATGATGTGTATAATGACAATAATTGATCGTCGTCTCTCGTTTAAACGTTCAATTTCGATGAATATATCGCGCGATATATTCGGGGCATATCTCAGGCGCGTCATTATTGACGCAGAACTTGAACCGCCGTGCCGCGGTCTCGTCTCGTATCCAGGCGACTCGTCATGTAAGTGTGACCATCTCCCTCCACTTTCGACACCCGTTACACGAGCGCGGCATTAGATCGTACGTTAGACACGCGATTGGCTCCCGTCGGACGCCAAGAGGTTGGGCCAGGTGGGCCATCAGGGGGCCACATGACGCGATTGGCAGCAGACGAATAGTCGCTGAGGAAGGGGACAAATGAGCTGCTAGTCAGCGAATCCACCGCAGCTTTGCTATCAACGAATTAAATACGACCGACATCGGTCCGCTTTGTCCGTTTTGTTCTCGAGTTTACGCCGCTACGCGAGCTACGATTAATTGACCGATTAATTAATTGACCATTGACAAATGAGCCGTGTGCATTGGACGAATGGACACTGCGACCTCTCTCTCTCTCTCTCTCTCTCTCTCTCTCTCTCTCTCTCTCTCTCTCTCTCTCTCTCTCTCTCTCTCTCTCTCTCTCCCTCTCTCTCTCTCTCTCTCTCTCTCTCTCTCTCTGATACTGAAACTGCTTGCTCACACATACCTTGACTTTTCTGATATTTTCTATATTTAACGGCAAAGGGAGAACTGCGTTCTCCCGTATTTACTTGTACTTGATGTGTGTGTACTTTATTCTATAATAATAATACAATATAATAATTATCACGTCAATCGTATTACATGCTTTTCTTCTTGCATTTGTACAACTGTCATGTGTGAATCGTATAGAATTATAAGTAATTATAATATAATTCATCATTATAATTGTTATTATTTAAATGAAATAAATAAATATGTTGTACACAAATATGCAAAATGTATAATATACATATTTATATTATATTATATTATATTATATTATATATCATAACTCTCATACATACTTAAAAATAAACGTTTCGAATTCTATCGTGAAACTCTAAAACAGCATAAATATATTCTTTTTGTATTACGAAAAGAAGAAACGGATGGGTCATTCTTTAATCTCTAAGTTTTTGCTAGGTATATGTTTAATACATATTCTCTCGAAATCTTTCAGGCCCGAGAGTCTCGGATTGTTTCGATTTTGAGTGTCAAGCAATTCTAAAACAAAAGAGAACGCTATCAACGCGATCGAAATATGTAGATTTGCCTCGTAATATATCGTGTCGCGCGTTGATTACGGATTTGCGCGAAAGATACGATTTTCCCGAGAGCATGAAATGCGTACGCCAAGATCAGGTGGAGCAGACTATCTTCTTCCTTCCTTCCCCCCCACCTCTTTCTCTCTCACTCTCTCTCTCTCTCTCTCTCTCTCTCTCTCTCTCTCTCTCTCTCTCTTCCTTTCTCTCCCTCTCACCCTCTCTTCTGTCTCCTCTCCTGCCACTTTTTCCTTCTTCCT